GAAAGATGCTGAGCAAACGCTTGGAGCCGAGACTGAACAGGGAATGTGGGCTTCTGCCTCCCCATCAGCACCTTGGCCGCTTCTCCCCTATACCCACTGTGTCCCCACTCCCTCATCAGCCATCTGCAGACAGAAGGGAACACACTGTCTGCCCCCACCAACATCCTAGGCCAAGAGCCCCCAGCCCCAGCACATCTTCCTGTTGGGCTAGCGCAGATCCTCCTGGCCACATGGAAGAGCAACGCAGACAAGGCCCCTGGAATTCAGCACCCTGGCCACACCTCCCAGGTCACCAAAGGCCTCGGCCTGGTCATCGAAGAAGGCTGAGCCTCCTTTGTGCCCTGGCCAGCTCTCGTGGCTGGAAAGCTGGTGGAGGCTGCCATCAGCAAGCACGTGGGCCTCAATGCAATTACAAAAGTGATGGGAACAAGAAGTGCGTCCATTCATTAGCAGCAAATTACACTCAATTATCTTAGCAAATACAGCACAACATCAGTGCAGTGGCTGGCAGGCTGCTCAGGGAGCCAGGAGGGCCCTCTTCTTTACCTCAATGAAGGGGAGCTTGCACCATGCTGGAACATTTTCAGGAGGTAGGAATAAAACGCGAGGCATGCAGGGACCACAGTGGCCTGTGCCTTATGGGATAAAGCAGTCAGCCAATGCATTCTTAGAGGAGCAGGAACTGGAGGTCAGAAAGCTCAGGAAGTTAAGGGTGGGGGAGGGGTAAAGGGGGGAGTACTGCCTGCGGTCCCTCTGGATACTGCATATCTGCCCAGTGGGGGGGGAACCCTAGGATGCCCTGGGGAGGGGCCACACCCTGGGTGGGGCAGGGGCAGCGTGAGAGAGAGGGGGCTCTTTCTGCTGAGGCTGGCACAGGCACAGACTGGTGGTGAAGGAGCAGACAGATGGTCCTTCTCTCTGTGGAGCTCCCAGTGCTGGAGGGCAGAGGCAGCCAGAAGCTGCAACATGACTGTGCACATCTGGAGGCCTGGGGGTGACAGGGAGAGACGCACAGGGAGAAAGGGGGAAGGGGAAGGGAAGAGAGAGGACCTAGGGGGGAAAGCGGAAGTCCCATTTCCCTGCAGCAGCCAGAAATAGCCTAACCATCACCCGTGGGTGCCACACACACACACACACACACACACACACACACACACACACACACACACCATTGCTTGACTGATGGCAGGAGTTTGGGGTTTCTGCTCTTCCTTGAACTCTCTCTTTTGAGACTTGGCCCACACTAAGCTTGGCCACTTCCCCCAACCTTTCGGCTTCTGAATTTTCCATGCTTCCCTTAATTAGGAAACAAATCTTTTGGTGCTGACGCCAGTGATCAGAGAATAGCTCACCCTGCTCAGGTGCCTCACCTCAAAGTCTTTCCTCCGAAATCTATTTTGCATTAACTTGCAAGCCAGGCTAGAACTCCTGGAGTATGCACATCAAATATTTAGCAATGATCTCAAGCAACTGCATCAGAACTCCTAGGGAGGGAACCCAGGCACCAGTTATTAAAAATTCCCTAAGTGATTCTAATGGGCAGCCATGGTTGAAAACAACTGGACTAATGGAATCTGGGTCTGTATGACCAAGAGCATAATGTGCAGAATTGAGGAGGTGAAAGGCTGATCTATTATGAACTGAAACACAGTGCAAAGCAGAGCTTTGATCTGAAAGGAACAATGAGGAAACCTGTCTGGAGGAGGCCAGTGGGGGTGAGGCAGCCTCATTAGCAGAGCGAAGGGAAATGTGTTGCTGCTCAGGTGCTAGGGCACAGCTGGGGTAAAGGTCACCAGGCTTAAATCTGAGGCTGCGGTGCCTGTCCTTGGAGACCTGGGCTTTTCTTTGCTTTAACAAAACCTAGCCTCATTAGTAAGAAAGCAGGGCCACCACAATTATCCGGAGCTGGTGGTGCTAAGTGGCAGGTCATGGGCATACCCTGAGGCTCTGCACTCAACAAGATGCCAACGAATCTCCACATCAGCTCTGGCTGCGGGCTCATGGTGCACACCCACTCACCACCCCACAGGAGTCTCACACCGGCCTCAGTTTCTGGGGCACTGAGGAGGCTGAACCACAGACAGACACTGAAGAACCCACAGGGGGTGATGGGAAGGGATGTCACATGCCCTGCCCACCCCGGAGAGCACAGCGAGGGTGTGAACTTCAATCACAGTTCTTGCCCTGTCTAACATCAGTTTTGCTAGTGGCCCAGGGCTCTTGTCTAGTGTGTTCTTACATGTGACCAGCCACAAGGGCTGCCTGAGCTGTGGCCATTGCCCCCAGAGATCCCTTTCCTAGGAGTCCCTATTGCAGAAACTGGAGCACCACCACCACAAGACACTTCTCTATTTGTATCCAACTATGGTAAAATGTATTCTAGAAGAATAACACTACAGGATACTACGGAGTCACTTAGAAAGAATGAAGGAGAGCCTTGCAAGGAACCAGACACAAAATAGCACGTACTACAGGATTCCATTTATATCAAGTTCATGAACAAGTGAAGCTGAGCCAGCGAGATAGCTCAGCAGTCTAAATCGCCTGCTTAGGCAAGCTTAGGCAGGCGCAGGGGACCATGGTTCAATCCCAGCCCCACATACCCTTTAGCTCCACTCTCAAGGGCTGGCTGAGCCAGACGGGGGGAAAAAAAAAGAACAAGTGAAACTCATTTGTGGGGAAAGCAATCAGAATAGTATTTTGGGGTAGAGCTATTGACTGCGAAGGGGCACTAGGGCACTTTTGGGAGTCCAGGATTGTTTTCTATGTATTATCATGTCTGTCTGTCTGTCTGTCTGTGATACTGGACAGTATGCTAGCGCTTTGTGCATGCGAGGCAAGCATTCCTCCACAAAACTACATCCCCAGCCCTTTGAACGTTGAGACAGGGTCTAAGTCACCCAGGCTGGCCTGGGACTTATGATCTTCCTGCCTCAGCCTCCCAAGTTGTAGCTCATATTATAGGCATGTGACAGCATCCCCAAGTTACAAAGTTGTCCAGCATATTGATTTGGATAGTGGTTACATAAATGCTTGTGTAAAAATTTACGGAGCCAGACGATAAGGATTAATATTTGTAAAAATTAGAGTTTTACACATGAGTTTGATAAGTGGATGACACTCTAGAAATGACTTGGGAAAACAATAAAGCCAAGCAAAGAACACACTGCAGAACAGTAGGTAGGATGCCATTTCTGTAAGCATACGAGCCTGAGGAAAAATCTGGAAGGATGTCACGCCCTCGGTGACAATTCGTGCTTCTTGGGCGCTCTTGCACTGGAAGATTAGAGGTTTTAACTACTTGGGCAAACTTTGGCCTCAGTTTGAGACTTGGGCTTTGTAGTGGATCTCTAGACATCATCTGTCTGGGGTCTCTGCCCAGCAGCCTATGCCTGCTAACATCCTGCTCAGGGACAGAGAAGGGCAGACCCCACAGCAGGTGCCATCCACGGCTGTGCATGTGAGCAGAAGTCCCTGTGCTAAGCCAGCAGAAGAGGCAGGCCGACTCCAGGCTGCCACCACCACGCTCCCCCTCAACAGCTCCTCCCCCCCAGTTTCTGAGTGGTCTGCTCCACTCCGTCGTCTTCACAGGCCTGGTTACAAATGGCCTTGGAGGCCAAATGCGGTCACTCCTTGGGCCAGGCAAATGAACCCTCGCTGTCCTCGCTTTAATAGGAATGTGACACCTGCAGCCTACAGCTTGTCGCACTGTGAGAATTATTTCTCCATTAAGATGCAGGAGTTGGAGCTTTGCCCAGGAAGGGCAGCTAAAAATACTACTCTCGAAGGCATTTGTCACCCAGCGCCCTGATGGCCACATTCCTCACCCCACAGCTCCCAGGCAAGTGCCACACCTGCTGGGTCTCTCTTGAAGCTCATCACACTCTGTCCTGTCAGAACCCAAGCCCAGCCCCGACAGAGATGAAGCACGGGTCACCACGTGTCACGTAGGTTTCCATAGCAGGGCCACTACTTCTAATCTAAAGCCACCTAGACAGCCAGTGTGGTCCCAATTGCTGGGAAGAACAGAACCAGCCCTCCCCCATGGGGGCTGAGGACCAGCAAAGGGAAGCAACATGCCCACAGGCGTGAGGGTGAATGTAGGGGCAAAGGCCAATCTTCTGCACAAGTCTTTGGACTCCAAGACCCACCTAGAGCACTATAGGTAGACTACAAGCAAGGTAGTTCCCAAAGCCACCAACTTCAGAATAATCTTCTACATGCAACCAGGCGTACTGGTGCATACCTGCAATCCTAGCACTTTGGGAAGCTGAAGCAAGAGGATCACAAATTCAAGCCCCCTCTGGGTGATTTTAGTGACTTAACAAAGCATTTCTCAAATAAGAAAAAAATACTTTAAAAATAACACGCACTTTCCGAGAGAAGCTTTATCACCTCTGTTTGATGAAGAAATTAAGATTGAGAGCACCAGGAATGTGGTTACCAGTTAGCGGCAGAACAGGAACACCAAGGGGAAAGCACTATAGACCTCACCAACTGGTCCTGGTCTCTGGCTTCCCGCGTGCCTGCCATGCTCACCCCTCTCCTCTGCCTTTCCAAGAGAGTGGCATTAGAACTTCTGTCCCATGTTCATGCCGGAAAATCAAGGTCCAAGAAGGTCGGTCTCCTGCTCAGTCGCAGAGCAGAGCTAGGTCCTGGACAAGGCCTGATACCAGCTCCATGGGTCAGTCAAGAAGTGTACATAATTCCTTTCCTGGTGTTGGTGTTGTCTTGGGCCATGAGGTCCCTATGATCAAACTGGGACATTAGCAGGGGCTCTGAACAAGGCTAGGGTGTGAATCTTCTGAGTTAAAGAACTGAGGTGACATTTCCACAAGTGTGACAACCCCCACCCTCCCTGCCCAAAGAGCCTGGCCACTTGGCCAGACATTTTTCTGAAAGAGAAACTGAGGCTAGGAAACTGAGGGGGCCATGAGGACCCAGGCATCCCAGCCCCAACCACCCTACTGCTTTTGAATACTCTGCAGAGAAACTTTTGAAAAAAAGCATTTATTTTCCCCAGATCCACCCCCAATATACAGAGTCCCACATTTAAATTAGACATCTTTGCTCCTGGGGTGGCAGAGAGACCAAAGGACACAGGACTCAGAAGCTCCACTCTTCCGAGACTGGGGGCTGGCCATATAAGCCTGGACGTGTCCGCCCAGGCCCCAGTAGCACCATGGTGGCAGGCAGTCCCCTCTGTGTCCCCAAAGTCTGCCCTGGGCTCCAGCCAGCAAGGACAGGTTTAGAGGGGCCTGGCTGCTGCCCATCGGCTCACCTTGGACAGACCCCTGGAAGCCTCCTGATTCTCTGGTGTGACCGGGGTGCCCCTCACGCTTCTGCCTCAACCCAGTCTCTGGGTAAGGTGTAGGGATGGTAGGGGGTGAAAATCTGCCCCCAAATGCACTCTGCAGGCCCCCAGAGAACCAGTGTGACCAGCACCTGCTTCCCACGGGTGCAGGTGGCATGGGGGGGTGCGTGGCCCAGCACGCACAGTTGGCAGGGAGGGCGCCTGGTGTCTCTGGGCACTGTGGAGAGGCCGAGCACAGGACACAAACAGGAGGAACAGAAGAGGCAGCTCCAGACTCAGGGATGTCCAGGAGTCAGACCACAAGCAGGTCGGGAAAGGGCTGAGGAAAGGGAATCAGTGCACAGTGCCACCAGAAAGACAAGGCAAGAGGTGACCGTGTAGTGCATCTTGGAGAAATAAGGCAGAAGTGCACCTGAAGGCTGTGTCCTCTGAGAGGAAAGGCGGCCACGCATCCTGTGTGGCTTGGAGGAACGGGGCCGTGGCGTGGTCTCAGTACTGTGTCTGTGAGAAATAAGGCAGCAGGAGGACCTGGGCATCGTGTCCCTTAAGAGACGATAGGCGGCAGCGTGGTCTGTGTACCGCATCCTCTGGGCCCAGATAGAGCTGGACCCATGGGTGGGGGCAGGGCTCCCTCTGAGGCCCCAGCGCAGCCAGAGGGTGGAGCCCCCGGGCGGGGGCCACAGCGCCTGGTCAGGCGATTTCATGTCCATCATCTGCTTCTCCTGATGGAGAGGGGAAAAGGAAACAACAAGTAAATGCTATTTGCTCTGCTCTTAGGGCAGAAGTCTCGGTACCTGCTCAGGTAGTCAGGCAGTGATGTGGGTGACAATGGCCGGAGGGGTCTGACAAGCAGCCCACCAAAGGCTGCTCGGGAGGCCCAGACGAGAGTGCAGGAGCTGGTGTGAGGGTACCCGCACGGCCCTAGGGACACCATCCTCCTGTCACCTCCATCCCTCAGGCCCCTCACACTGCCACCTCCTTCCTGGTGGCCTCTGTGTTTGCAACTCACTGCCACCCCTTCCCGCGTCTCCCTCCATCTCGGGCCACACAGATCTTTACCTTCTTTGCTTTCCGAGTGTTTCAGAGGCCGCAGGGCTGCAGAAGAAGAGAGCGTGCCAGTGAGGAGGGAAGTATACAAAGCGAGGGGTCGTGGGAGCAGCGAGGGCGTGCTGCTGGAGGGCAGCACGGAGGGCAGGCGAAGAGGGAGGAGGGAGACCGAAGGAAGGCGGCTGGGATGCCTCAGTCCACAGGTCCTAGCTGCACTCAGAGGCTTGTCGCTCCCCGCCCCTGGCCTCAGTTTCCTGCACAACCATCCTGTATCCCAGAGATGAGGGGGTGCACTGAGCCTGCTCCCCAAACAAGGAGCACGGAGGTCCAAAAGGATGATGGTATGTGGGCAGAAGGCCCAGGGACCCCAGCTGATGAACTCCAGAACTACCCCTTCTCACACCCAACCCCCTTCTGCCAACTGCATCCTCCTCTGGCATGGAAAAATGAGGTCTGATCCCAGGGCTGTCTCCATACCTCCCTGCGCCAGGCACCAAAAGACAGAGAATTAACTGGCATAATTGATTGCAGTCCCCAGGTGCTGATCTCCTGCCTCCCTTCTGCAGGGTGGGGAGGAAACTCCAACCCAAGTGGCTCAGTGCGAAGCCGCCGCTCCCAGCCCAGGGGTGACCGGAAGTGAGGCCAGTGGGGCAGGCACCAGGTCCACAGTGCAAGGCCCTGCCTCCGCAGCCATGGGAGCTTTACAACAGCCCTGGGCACCATCAAGGTTGGGGCCAAGATGACATGTCAGATGAAAACTGAGGCCCAGAGGACCAAAGCCTAGCAAGAACAGGATGGGCATGAGCTGGGTGCTTACCAGTCACAGGACTCGAAGGACCAGGCACTGATAAGGCACCAGGCATGGGACTGAGTCTTTCATACACATTATCTCATTTAACCTAGCCCAGGAACCCACGGGCCTATTGTTATCCCCACTGTACATATGGGGAACAGGCCAGAGAGACAGAGACTTGTAGGATGCCCCGTCCCCTGAGGTCCTGCTGCTACCCTAAGGAGGCTCCCAGACTACACAGGCTCATTTGAAGGCCACAGCTTTGGTGGCCGGGCACAGAGAGATAGGAGAAAGGAAGCCACTTGGAAGCCAGGGTGGGGAATCCACCCAGGTCTTCATCTGTGCCCCAAGTCCGGGGAGACTGCACGCAAACCCCAAAGCACAACTGGCCCTTCTAGCTGCCGAAGTCTTCTCTCCTACCCTGTGCCATCCATGTCACAAGGGCCACCTCTGAGCCCAGACTCACCCGTCTTGGAGCCTTCTCCATCCCCATCCTGGTCCTCAGCCCCTGGAAACGACAGGGTGCAGAGTGAACACAAAGCTCTCCCAGCCCCAGTGTCACCCCCACGCTCCCCACCCGGGAACCCCCTGTGGTCCAGAAGCTGGATACTGGGTAAGCACCTCAGAGCAGGGCACTGCAGAGGCCAGGCCAGGCCAGGACGCCTGGCCTACAGCTTACCACTTCCCTGGCCATGGCTTCTACCCATATTCCTCAAACCCAGTCCCCCAGTGAAACATACATGGCTCACATTTGGGGTCACACTGATTTGCGCACACACACCCATCCCCTTGGAACACTCAGCCTTAACCCACCACCCCCTTCCGGCCATACCTTATCCTGTCACTAGACACCAGTGCAGATGCCACGGAAACAGCCACTGCCACAGTTTGAATGTCTGTTCCCCCCAAACTCACCTGAAAGGCAACTGCCCCATGGTATGATTTATTGACTGTTATAATTATATTTTTGGCAGTGCTGGAGATCAACCTTAGGGCCTCGGGCATGCTAGGCGAGCGCTTTACAGAGCTACCCCACCACTGTGAGGTACCAATTCGCGGAGTAATTAGGCCACAGAGGCTCCACCTCACTAACGGGATCAGTGCCACCTCCTGACACAGCAGTCACATCAGTAGCCAGCACCTTGGTAGTGGATTTCCAGGCCTCTGGGTCATTTCTGACCTTCACTTTTCCCAGTCTTGGTCCACAACAGCAACACGCACCAAGGCACACATGTGCACAGACATACATGTGCGTGGACACACACACACACACACGGACATGCTCACACACAGACACCCTAACACACACCTGAATTCTCCTCCTCACAGCTCTGCTTGATCTTCCTCCAGCACACGAAGGCCAGAGCCACCAGCAGTACAAGGAGGCAGACAGAGAGTCCCACGGTCACCCACAGGGCCTCCGGAGGAAACGTCACGGGCTGCCCTGGGAGAGAAGGCGATGTCACACACCTCTCGATCTCCAGGGTGGGGACACACTGTGAATGAGGCCCACACACTGCTCTGGCAGGCAAGGCCTGAGGAGTCTGGGGTGGATAATGCACCCCAACCTTTCGTGGGCCCTTACTGACTTCCCACACGCACTCCAACCCTCTAAGGATTATGGAACCTAGCTGCAGCTCCCTTCCTGTGCCCAGTCTTTCTTTCCTAGCTCACCATGGGAACGCGAACCCCAGCCAAGCGGGCATCTGAACCCTGGAAAAGGCTGGCTCCTCCCAGCCCCTACACAGCACTGTGTTCCCTTCCTCAATGGCACTTTAGACTCTTTCCAGTCCACCACCATTGGGAAGTCCTCCCTGACTACACCAGTGCCAGCCCCATCAGGGAAGTCCGCATCCTGCAGCTCAGGAGCCAAGACACGGTGGTCTGTGATCAACAGGAAACAGCTGGTGGCCAAATGTGGGGGTAGCCTGTTGTGTATACAGCCCAAAAGCTAGTATTAGCTGTTACTTTCTTAAGGGTTACAGGAAGGTAGGGAGGGAAAGAAATGAAGGAGGGAAAGGAAGAAAGGAAGGATGGGAAAGAAAGGAAGAAAAAGCCAGGCATGGTGGCACATGCCTATAATCCCAACACTTAGGCTGAGGCAGGAGGATCACCAAGAATTCAAGCCGTGGGCTACACAGTGACTTTAAAGGCAGCACGCACTACAAAGTGAGACCCTGTGTCAAAAAGAAAAAAAGAGAGAAGAAAAGATGGAGGGAGGGAGGAGGAGCAAGAGGCACCGAAGGACAAAGCAGCGACAACAGGGATGCTGCCCTGTCCACAGAGCAACCACCTCAGCCTTCCTAGGACGTGTGTGCTGAGCTCTGCCTACAGGTGACGGCCCAGGGGTAGGGATCCTGAGTCCCACAAGGATTCCAGCGGGCCTGGGGAAGCCCTGCCGGACTCATCAGTAGACCCTGAGGGCCTCCTGTGAAGAGGCACTGAGAAGCCAGCTGGGCCAGGGCCTGCAGCTGCTCCGCACAAAGCCTGATGGCTCCATCCCTCCAGTGGGTCCTGGGCGGAGGCTCATGGGAAAACAACGCAACAAAGACAGTGCTGCCGGGGAGATGGCTCAGTGGAATAAGCACTTGTCTGTCAAGCGGAGGGGCCTGAGTTCAATCCCCAGTTCTGCCCAAAAAAAAAAAAAAAATCCTAAAAGACAGTGCTGCCTCCCTTTGCTGTCTGCAGGCATGGAGTGGCAGCAAGGGGCTGCAGGCTCTGCATAGGTCCCTTAACCCTGCAGTGTTGGAGGTTCTGGCATAGAGCACCCTGGCAGGTCCCAACAGCAGACCTTCCTTCAGCAGGCTCTGGACAGTGGAAGCCAAGGAGCTATCACCCTAGGTGAGCAGGAAGGAGTTGGCCTTAGGCCAGTAGGGACAGTCCAAAAAGCATAATAAGAATCTCCTGGAAGTTCGGCATGACGTCACGTACCCGTGATTTCAGTAACGCTTGGGAGACTGAGGCAGGAGGATTGCTGCAAGTTCAATGTTAGCTTGGGCTACATAGTGAGTTCAAAGCCAGCTTGAACTGCATAGCAAGGCTCTGTGTCAGAAGGGAGAAAAGGGAGAAGAGGAGGAGGAGGAGGGGGAGGAGGGGGAGGATGGAGCTGCAGACAGACTCAAGAGCAGGGGCTCTGTGTTCACCCCACAGCCACTAGCAGTGCCTAGAACACGGACTGAACTTGCCCCCCTTCACCCACTAAAGGGGAGCGGCCAGCCAGGACTCAGCCACACATCTTCAGGCTCTTCTCCACGAAGAGGACAGCTGGAGCGCTCAAAATCTCAATCCCAGAATGTTTCACCAGGCGCAGAGCTACTCATAGCAAAATACAGGCCAAGGGCTCCAAAGTAGGCCAGGCCTGCTGTATCAAATTCAGGAGGCTGGCAGGTGGGGGAGGCCAATTAGGCTGAGAGGCCCCGGCTGGATCCTGATCCTGTTTCAACTTTCTACTGCAGGGTACGGGTGCTGAGCTGTGCAGACTCCTCACAGAGAAGCCAGGAGCCGCCCAAGTTGTATGCAGACCAGTGCATTTGCCAGGTGCTTAATCTTCAAGGAGGTGCTGGCTCCCCCAAAAGACTCTAATTTACTGTGCTGGTCTGTGCCACCCCCAATTTGCTTATCTGTGACACATGGCTGGCCACACTGGTCTACATGAAACCCCTTTACACAGTAGCTCCTGAACCGTTATGCAATTAGGAGGGGTGAGCGTCCCTCTTGCAGTCCCATTTATACTCATTAGCCCTTTTTGCACGGCATAGCAAACATCTGATTCTGCCCCGTGTGCAAAGGCTTCCAAATCCTCCTGTTCTTCCCAGTGAATGGCTCGTTCTCTGCTGGGCTTGCCCTCCCCTACATTTGCTGCTTTCCTGCAAACGCTCTGCTTTCCCTGCCAGGTCATATGGTGAACTCTAAGAGGTAGAGAACCCCCCCTCCCCACACACACCTTTCAGAGCATCACCCGAGAGCCCAGGGACAGACAGGGTGGAAGAAGTCCCTGAGCCCTGAGGTGTGCATGACACTGGGGTCAGAAACTGGCATTGGGCAGAAGTCACAGAAAGAGAAAAGTGAAGTATGCAGATAGACACCACTGTCCTGAGATGAGCAATGTGAGAGGACCCTGGGAAGGTCGAGGGGCCCCGAGGAGGGACTCAGGAGCCAGGCCACGCACAGCGCACAGAAAGGGGTGGACCTCTGACGGACTTGCAAAGACCCGGGAACCAGCGGGGCCGGGGAGATGGCTCAGTAGGATAAGCGCTTGACTGACAAACGCAAGGATCTGAGTTCAATCCCAGGTTCCGCAAAAAAAAAAAAAAAAAAAAAAAAAAAAAAAAAAAAAAAAAAAACAACAACAAAAAGTCCCGGAACCAGAGATTTCAGGAAATCACCCCATGGACAGCCTCGATATGTTTGGCCACACGGGGGCAGCAGAGTTGGCCCTGGCCACCCACCTGCCGCCTGGTGTTGCTGCAAGGAGTTGACCTTGGGTTACAGAAGGCACTGCCCACCTGGAAAGGCCCAGCTCCCTCAGGGCTTCGGAATCAGATGGTGCCCTGGCCTCTGGAACCCATTCATGCCACCCCTACAAATTCCCTCACCATACTCCTGGAGTGCCCGTGGCTGGCCCAGAATCCCGGCCCAAATTTCAAGATTCCAGGTGGGAGTACTTTGCCCCTGCATGAGAAGCTTAAGGACCATGCGAGCCGGCTTAGGAGAGCAAACATCATAAACGATTCGATTCAGCTTATTACGTATCAGCAAATCCTTTAGGGCTTCTTGTTGGGAAGACTTGGAGGCACCTAACATCACTAAGCACCCGACGTTCAAAAATTCTCCTGCCTCACTCAAATCTGTTGAAACTCCAATGCAGAGTCCAGAAAAAAGGTGGCTGCGCCTCACATCCTAACCCTGCTGACCACTGGCCCCTCACCCGTGATGGTAACAGAGCCGTGCGTGTCCTGCTGCAGCACCCGGTTGCGCACCACGCAGCTGTAGGTGCCATTCGCGCCCAGCAACACTCGCAGCACGCTGTGCACATCGAACAGGCCCTGCTCATTGGCGATCTGCGACGTGGTCACGTTGCCGGTCAAGGACGTGCCCTGACCGTCCCGCCACAGCACCTCAGCTTCGGGGTAACCCCGGTAGCTGGAGCAAGTGATGGTCACCAGGTCCCCAGGCCGCAGGTCTTTGCTGGGCTCCAAGGTCATGCTGGGCTTCGAGTAAGGGGCTGGAGACAGACACACGGCAGGGGTCAAGGACAAGGGGAGGACAATGGGCGTGCCGGGGAGGGGGGGGGCTGTGAGCTCCTGGGTCAGCCCTAGGGTTAGAGCTGAGGTTCCCGCTGGGGCTGCAGGACCAGGAGTGAGGCCGGGGCGAGGGCGCCCCCTGCCGGCTCACCCGCCACCTGCAGGCTGACGGCGGCGCTGCCAAAGTCTCGGATGCTCACAAAGCAGGTGAAGCTGCCCTCATCCGCCACGCGCACGCGCTGCAGCCTCAGCGACGCGTTGCCGCGCGCCAGCAGCTCTGGGAACAGCGCGGTGCGGTTGGCATAGGCACTGCCCTGGTCGCGGCCCTCGGCGAAGCTGTGCACCAGCTGTTTGGTGTCGGTCAGCTGCCAGATGAGGTTGAGCTGCGTAAGGCTGAAGTCGGGTTCCGGGGAGAAGGAGCAGCACAGGGTGGTGTCGGTGCCCACCAGGGCCACCACAGGGTCCTCAGGGACTTGGACGTCCACGGCTCCTGGGGTGGGGCAGTGAAAGGGCAGGGTGGTGAGGGGCATGGGCGGTGCAACGAGGAAGGGCGGGACAACCTCAGTCCTATACCCCCAGGCTCTGTGGCATCTTCCCATTTCTCTTTGGACTGAAAAAGCAGGTTAAGCCTCAGGACTCTCAGTCTTGGGGTCTTCCTCATCAGAGACGCCCAGCAGCTTAGCCTTGGTTGCTGGGCCCATCCTTGGGGTCCCGACCTGGGCAGCTAGACCCTCGGGGGCCGAGCAATGAGCACACACCCCCACCTCCACACAGGCACCCTTTCCCTCTCCTGTCCCAGGCTCTCTCTCTAGTGGCCCGGGTACATATCTAAGCTTTCCACAAACCCTCGAGTCAAGGTCTGTGGTCATTAACACCCCCTACAATCTGTGGTCTCCTACCCTCATCTTTATCACAACCACATATCTCACTGTTTTGGGGGACTCAGGTAGGGAGAGATTCGGATCCTCCAGGCCCTGCTGTAGAACTGGAAACCTCCCTCCACGAGGCCACATACCTGCAGGGGTCCTGTGGGGCATGATGGTGATCGAGTTGTGCGTGTCCTGCCGCAGCACCCGGTTGCGCACCAGGCAGCTGTAGGTGCCATTCGCGCCCAGCACCACTCGCAGCACACTGTGCACATCGAACAAGCCCTGATCATTGGCGATCTGCGACGTGGTCACGTTGCCGGTCAAGGGCGTGCCCTGACCGTCCCGCCACAGCACCTCAGCTTCGGGGTAACCCCGGTAGCTGGAGCAAGTGATGGTCACTAGGTCCCCATGCCGCAGGTCCTTGCTGGGCTCCAAGGTCATGCTGGGCTTCGAGTAAGGGGCTGGAGACAGACACACGGCAGGGGTCAAGGACAAGGGGAGGACAATGGGCGTGCCGGGGAGGGGGGGGCTGTGAGCTCCTGGGTCAGCCCTAGGGTTAGAGCTGAGGTTCCCGCTGGGGCTGCAGGACCAGGAGTGAGGCCGGGGCGAGGGCGCCCCCTGCCGGCTCACCCGCCACCTGCAGGCTGACGGCGGCGCTGCCAAAGTCTCGGATGCTCACAAAGCAGGTGAAGCTGCCCTCATCCGCCACGCGCACGCGCTGCAGCCTCAGCGACGCGTTGCCGCGCGCCAGCAGCTCTGGGAACAGCGCGGTGCGGTTGGCATAGGCACTGCCCTGGTCGCGGCCCTCGGCGAAGCTGTGCACCAGCTGTTTGGTGTCGGTCAGCTGCCAGATGAGGTTGAGCTGCGTAAGGCTGAAGTCGGGTTCCGGGGAGAAGGAGCAGCACAGGGTGGTGTCAGAGCCCACCAGGGCCACCACGGGGTCCTCAGGGACTTGGACGTCCACAGCTCCTGTGGGCGGGGTGATCGGGGGTGTGGTGATCTGGAGGGAGTGGCCTCGTGTCCTCCCAGACTCACTCTTCTTCATTTTCCCATCAGTACTGACTTTTTGGGAGACAGGGTCTCGTCGGTCTTGAACTTATTATGTGGCCCAGGCTGGCCTCGAACTTGTAGTGATCTTACTGCCTCAGCCTCTTTTTGCTTACATTTTTATAAATTGAGAAGGGAAGCCTAACAGACATGCATATTAATAGCTATTTTGTCTGAATAAGAGGATCACAAGTGCTTTTTCTTTTCTCCTCTTCCTAAATATTACTTAAAAAAATTTAAAAAATAGGAAAGCATGCCCATATTTAAAACAGGGTAGTGAGGCATGAGCTCCGTAAAGAAATGACAGAAAGTCAAAATGCAAAGTCCGTGTTAAAGGGACCAAAAGAGAGGGGACAGAAGATGGGGAGACCCATCCTGAATCTATCAGAAAGCAATCCATGGAAAATTTAGAGAGAATTTATTTTGGGGGATTTTCACTGTGGATTAACACCTAATTTTTGCTGTGCACAGAGATCTTAAACTGGCTTTGGATCTCTTCCTCAAGCCCCAGGAAAACTCAGGCCACCTGGATCAGGGTGTCCGCTGCGGGAGACAATGAAGCCCTTTCTATAGAAATCAGAACAGCCACGGTAGAGATGTGCACCGCCTGGTATGACCACAAGATGGCAACAAAGACCTGGCTTTGTCTTGCCATGGAGGACAATGTCTACTGATACAGGACACAGTTAAGGTTGGGAAACGAAAGGGCTGAAGAGTGAGTGCCATTCTGTTTTATACAAGGAATCCAAGAAAGCCTTACAGAATTGGTCACATTTGGTCCTCAGTACTCACATTCCCATTTTACAGGCAGGTTGTGGAGGGTAGCAAAGGAAAGGGAGGCTGCTCTTGGGTCCCAAGGGTGGAAATGAGAGCCAACTTGGCAGAAGCCCAGGTGGGGGGTGCTCCCACTGCCAGGGTCTGTGTCCCTGCTCTCACCTGTGAGGCAGAGGTACAGCATGCCCAGGGCTGTCCCCACGCAAACACCCCTGCCGGGGCTGCCTGGTCCATGTAGCATCTTCCTGTGAGGCAGCTGACAGCTGGGCACTCCACGGTGAAAGGCTGACCTGGCCTGCAGGGTAGAGGAAGCAAGGTCTTCGTTGTCTCCCCAGGGCCTGCTCCCCCGGGGAGGTCCAGCTGCCCATGCTGCAGGGTTCCCTGCTAAGGGACTTCGGTGGGATGCTGGCAGTGGGGAGGGTGGGACAGAGCCAGCCAGCTGTGACCCTGAAGACATGTGTGTCTGGTCTGTTGAGCAAGATGGTACCTGAGTCACTGTGGCCTTAGGCAGGAGCCCATGGGGAGAGGAGGAGCCAGGCCTCAGCCAAAACTGTGCCTGTCGCCAGCAGTTAGGAGACACTACGCAGTCCTAAACCAAGAAATGGCATGGTCAGGGCAGAACTTCCTATGGATTAACCTCACAGTGTCTCCTGGATAAATGTGGGGCTGGATAAAAGCAGCAGCATCTGAAGGTATGGACCCCCAGCGGACCAGAAGGGCCTTCACTGGGGCAGAGAATTTGGGCTTGCAGAAGACTGGTGCCGAAGTTCCCAGGGCAGAGTTTGCACAGACAACTGCATGTGTGAGGAGGGACTTGAGACCCAGCCACTAGTGTAATGCTTGTGTGCCGAGTGACCTAGACTGGTCAGAAATGGAGGAGGCTGGGAGCAGGGCTGAGCCTGGAGGCTGGAGTCAGGACCATCTGAGAGGCAAAGCCAAGGCCACAGCCAGGTGGGGCCAGGCAGGGGTCCCCGGCTTCCCTGGGCACACCCTACTTCCCGTCCGGCCTCTGCTGAGGGGCCCACCTCGCTCAAGCAGGCTGTCCACATCTCCCTGTGTCCCACAACCCCTGCTCGCTGGGCCACTCCTGCTGCATCCTGCTGAGGCCACGGGACCAGTATCCACCTCCAACAGCCACCTCTGAGCGGGGAGAATACGGGCACCTCACTTCCCCCAGCCCTCAGGAGCCAAGCCACACTACTTGGCTGTGTTTCTGTAGGACAAAAAGAAGAGTCCAGAGAGGAGACTGTGGTGTATCTTATCATCTGCCTGTGGGCACAGGCGAGATCCCAGGCCTATTGGCCCTGCTTGCCCTTCCATGGAATACACCTCACCCTCATAGAACCCCAACCTCCACGTGGGTCCCCACAGCCTCGGCCACCCTGGGGGCATCCTGGCCCCCACCCCCCAGACACCCACTGGGGAAACCCTGAGCAGCCACTTCCTTTCCAGACGCTTCCTGTCCCACATCTGGCAGCCTCAAAGCCTCACCACCTGCTGACTCAGCAGCCTTCTGCACCATTCACAAAGGAACCCTTGGTGGGCACCACATCCTGCCCTGTGGCGAAGGCCACCCCAGCCCACAGGAAACCCTAGCAGGCAGCTCCCTGCTGTGAGCATCAGTGCACACACCACACACCACAGGAAGCCCCAGGCCAAGGACAAAGGAGTCCCTGGTTCCGCAGTTCCCTTCCATTCTCCCACTCCGACAGAATCTGGGCCAGTCTAGTTCTCCCCAATGCCCAGCTGCACCCTTCTCCCCCATGCTGGTTTTTCTGTCCCCTTACTTAGCCTGCTAACTCCACTTTTCCCATCAACCTCACTCTCTCCGGGCCTTCTTTTAAGACAGGAATCTGCTCACCTCCTCACCCTGCTCCAGAACCTCCCATGGCTTCCGTTAACTCTACAAGTAAGCCCACCTTCAGTCTTAAGCCCCTTCTTACCCCTGCTCCACAGGGCAAATGCATTCCTCCTGCCCCCAGGGCTTCCCACCACGAGCATCTGCGGCCCAAGCACATTTATGGGGAGGCAGAGCGCCTCTCCTGATCACACTTATCAGGGCTCTCCAAAAGCTGAGCTTGTCCTTTCCTCCAGAGGGAATATGAAGTGGCTCCCAAAGGTGGGTGCTGGGTGTTCTCCCTGATTCTTTTCCTAAACTCGGGGTCCAGCAGCCCACCCCAGGAAGCTGTGAGAAATCCACAGCATCGAGAACTCCTATCCAACATCTGGCACCCAAGGAACTAAAAACAGGATAGAGAAACACACCGCAGGGGGAAGGTGGCATTCGGGGGTCAGAAGGGTGGCCCTAGACAGGAAGCCAGTCACTGCCCATCTGGACTAACAATGTCAGTACACTGGAGCCTTCCAGAATACAGACTTCATGTGGAACGCAGGCTACTCAACTGCCTTTCCTATAGCAGGGAATCCTCTTCCCCAGGCAGCACCTCTGAGAGTCCCCAACTGGCCCTCCAGCCTCCTCTTCCCTTCCTCTTTCTGGATCTCAGCCTCAGCCAGCGCAGGACCTCCCTGGACACTGCCAGTAAGACCACAGAGGGTGTTGGCCATCCAGAAAGAAGTGCAAAGGAGACCAGGAAGCACCCCAGGGGCACTGTGGGTGCCTCCAACCCCAGCACAATGGGACACAGGGGCAGCCCCAGAGCATGGTCCAAAATGCTCCCCCCAAAGCCAAAGCAGAAAACTGGACTGAGACCTGCCTTCAGTCCAAGATGCCCCACACTTGAGGGTGCCCACTAGGGACTCCTTGTCCAATACTTCCCACCAGGAGGACAAGAGGCCAGAGATACCCAGAGCTCTGGGATTTCAGCTAAGCCCTGGATCCAGCTTGGCCCAGCAACCTGAACTAATCTTTTTTTTTTTTTTTTTTTTTAACTTTAAGAAAATTTGAGCTAAATTTCAACAATCTGCAAGTGAAGGAGCCCATGAATATAGCAGATTCAGTCACATATTCAGAATTCATTTATTCACCGAGTGCCCAGGAGGGGGGCAATGGAGACAGAGAGATGACGCACCAGGTGACAGCTTTGAGTAGGGTGGGGACTGTGGGCATACAAACAAATCAGAACACTGGTACAGCATACACTGCAGTGAGGGCCGCTTGAGGGCATCTCAGAGCCATGAGAGCTCAAGCATGGGACCCAAAGAGCCGTGACCACCGCCCCAGGTGAGGCTGCAGAAGATGGCCCCTTCCGGGCCTCAGAAGACCTGAATAACCAGGTCTGCTGGTAACCAGATCTCCTCGGTATGGCAGAAATCAAGCCCAATGCTGACACTCTGCTGTTCAGTCTACACGAGGTGATTTCCCTTCTCTGGGCTCAGTGATCCCATTTCTAAGAGATTGAGGGGCCGGGGAGATAGTTCAGTAGAATAAGCGCTTGCCTGGCAAGCGCAAGGGCCTGAGTTCAAGCCCCAGTTCCACAAAAAAATTTTAAAAAAATAAAAAGAGATTGCTGGAAGCTGACAGAATTGCACCCGTATTCCAAGGCTGCATGTATGTACCCTTAAGGTTTGGGCACAGCTGCCACCCAAGTCATACTGAAATGTGCACAGTGATGGTGGCAGACACCCACCCTCCTCTTGTATAGGGTGTTTAGCTGGGCACAGGGCCACACAGCTGCAGACTACAGATCCCAGCCTCCCTTGCAGCTGGGTATGGCCACGTGACCATTTTTTGCCTAATAGGATTGGAGAGGAACTGCTGGTTCAACTTCTGGGTCGTGCCCTTAAAGTGGAGGGCATCTCTGCTGTGCCCTCTGCCCTCCCGCTGGCTGGAGTGCAGATGCTAGGAGCCTTTGAGGACCATGCTGCCAGTGGGGGCACCACAGGGCACCAGGTCAAGCATCCTGCAGGGCTGTGGTACCAGCCCTGGGGAGGACAGACCCAGACGGTCACATGGAGGAGAAATGAGCATCTGTCCCAGCATAACTCAGTTATTTTGGGTCTCGCTGCATCTGAACTAATTTAAGCAGCCATCATCTCTCCTCTCCCTGCCCCCACCCTCGGAACACCAAAGGAAACCACATCTAAAACGAGTGCCTCAAAATCTCAGCTGACACCATCTCTGCAGGGTCACTGAGAGCTACCTGGGACCAGCTTCAGGGAGGCAGCAGGGTGGAGGCTCCATGGGGGCTGTGTGAAGGGAGTCGAGTGGAGGACAGTCAAGGCTACAGCAAGACATGGGCAAACGTGGTCACACAGGACAAGGCGGGGGTGGGGGGCACAATGCATGTGCTGGAGGAAGAAGCTGCTCTGAGCACCAACATTGGGCCATCCAAACCTGAGGGTCCCGTGGGCTCAGCTCAGAACAGAGGACAGAAGCAAAGCTGCAACAACTGAGGGAGGCAGCAACAGGAGAAGAGGCCCCAGGATAAGTTATGGGGAAATTTCAGAAGCTCGTGGTCAAGTAAGGAAACAGGGGCTCTCCCAGGCCACCCGGCATCCCTGCAGCAACAAGTGCCACCTCCATCCATGACACACCTCTGGCTCTGAGCCTGCTCTCAGTGGGGAAATGCCACCTGCTACTGAGCTGAAATCTGTCCCCGGTGCAGCCCACGTCAGCCCTCATTCCAACCTCGGAACACGCAGAACAAGTCTGCCCCCTTCCTTACAGCTCCATGAGTATTTCGTATTTCTTGGCAATGCCACCAGTGGGCAGCCATGTCACACAGGCTGCCAACAGAGACAGTGGGCTCTATGGCCAACAAGCAAAAGTCTCTATTCTCCGCCAGTGCCCCAGTCTCGCAGTACCCCTACTGCTGGAGGGGGGGGCGTGGCTTTGTAGGTTTCTCTGGTAACTAGGACAGGTCAAACCCTTCACTCCCACTACCATGACCTTGTTATCTAACTCGGCCAAACTCCCACAACACAAAGTTGATCACTGTAGCCCTGTTGAGGTAGACAGCTCAGTGGCATGACCTATTCCCACAGCAGATGTAACCAAGTCACGATTTTTTTTGAAGGACTGTTTCAGCAGACCCTGATGTACAGGAAATGCTCACTAATTTTTTGGTGGGTATAAAAAAGAAAAGAATGCTGTTTTCTCCCTACTTCATGTCATGGGCCCTGCAGAAAGAACAAGACCAGGAAAGGTCACAGTACGTCTGCCCACACAGCGAAGTCCACTGAGGTGCATCCTGTGGAGTGAGCAGTGCTCCTTCCCAAGATCACCAATCTGCCATAGGCTACTTTTTTCCCTATAAAGCTGGTTATTTGCCCATTTGAAACCTACCATCATTCATTCATTTATTCATCCCACAAACATTCATTTGGCACCAATAT